TTATCTGTTTGTTTCTTGTGTTTATTTTTCCCTCTATATCTCTTTCTTGCTGTTATTCTCGTCTTTCTACTTCTTGCTCTGTTGTTCATTTGTTATCTTTTTCATTCCTTTCTTTTTCTCATTCTAGTTACTTTGCTTCTTTTTCTAGTCTCCTTCTTTCTCCTTGTTCTTACATCGTAGCCATTTTATGTCGTTTCCCTCTCCCTTCTATCTGCTCTTACTACTTATTGGTCTTCTTATCTATCCCTTCTCATTCTCTCTTTTTCTCCTCTCCTTTATTGCTTTTCCTTAGTTCTTACTTTGTCTGTTTTCCTTCTGCCTATCTTCTATCGTACTGTTGTTGCTCGCTATATTTTCCCTTCTTCCCTTTATATTCTATTTTTATTTCGTTCTCGTTTTTTCCTTATTCCTTCTTTATTCTCTCACTCCTTTTTTTTTTCTAGCTTCCTTTCTATTTTGTTAACTATTTCTCTTATCGCTCTCGCCTTTCGTTTTCGTTTCTCTTATTCTCTCTTTTCTTGTGTATCCGAGTCCCTATCTCTATTCTTCAATTGTTTTTGTCTTACTTTGACTCTTTTCTCCTCTTTTCTCTATTACTCTAGTTCTTTCGCTTTGTCATATCTTTTCCTTTCCTATTGCTTCGCCTCTCATCTTTTTTTCTTTATCCCTTGGTCTTTTTTTTCTCTTGTTCTGTCATGTCATACTATTCTTTCTGTCTTCTGCTATTTTTCTTTCTTTCTCTTATTTCTCTCCTGTTGCTACGTCCTGCTTCTTTCTCCTCTTTGCTTCTTTCGCTCTCTTGGCTCCTTCTTCTTCTGTTATTGCTTCTTTGCATTACGTCTCATTCTTCTCAGTATCTATTCCTCCTGTCTGCTACTCTTTCCTTTGTTGTTCTTTCTAACTGCTCTTGTCTTACTGGTACTTATTCATGTTACTCTTGTCTTCCTCCTCTCTATATTTTTTATGTTTGTTCTCACTTTCTTCTTTGCTTTTCTCCTTTCTCTTGAGTTTGTCTTATCATTATTTTTTCTTAATTCTCGCTTTACTTCCTTTTCTCTTGCTATTTCTTCATATTCTCTTATGTTATTCTGGCATTTTGTTTGTTTCCTTTGCTTATGCCCTTCTTTTCTCTTTCTTGTTTTTTCCTTATTTCTTTTATCTTCCTTCTTTTGTTCCTTCCCTTTCTCCTGTCCTACTTCTTGCTATTCCCTTGTTGTTTTCTCTTCTTCCTGATTTCTTACTACTCTTCTTCCTGTCTTCTCCTACTCTATCCTGTTTTCGCTTTCTCTTAGTTATCACTTATCCCTTTCTCGTTCGCTGTTTCTCTTGCTATTCTCTTTTCTACCTGCCGATTTCTTCTATACTTATTTGCTTCTCTCGTCTCGTTTCCTTTGTACTGCCTGCTATCATTTTTTGCCTGATTTCGTTATCATATACTATATCGTGTCCTTTTCTCTTTATTTTCATGCTGCCTTT